ACAATGTCTTTCACTAATATTGCTTAGTTAATTATGAGTGATTTAAAAAAGAGAAAGATCTGACGAACTTTTTTTTACATTGTCTTATCTACTTTCAGTACAACCTACAATTAAATGTAATAACATACCCTTGATAGCTACGTAAGATAGTTATGTTAACTTCGCAGCTTTTAGAAGTTCTTCCCACGGCATTATTAATTGAATTTGTACTCTTCATGTACCGTTACAAAGGGAATTTTAGTTGTAAGGTACAATTATAATCCAATTGCAGATTTTTAATATTTTCTTCTAAAATATTTTCACTGCTATTCGTCTGACAAGATATGTAAAGCTGCTCTATACAAAGTAACAGCGTCTCAAGAAAGAAGTTAGCTACTATAACAATAGTTATTTCAATCAAAATATTCGCAACTAGACTTTTCTTCAATACAAGCAATCTTAACTTTAAAAATGCCGTCGATAGTATTCAATTGACGTTATACGTCACGTCAAGACATTATTCATTCCAATGCCGTCAACTCCATCTCACAACCGTCATTGTCTTTCACAAAGTAACGAGACCAATAACTTCTTCTTCAATTTACGATACGTCGTTAATCGCCCGCTGTGTTCGTGTTTTTGCCGGTGGCATTTTATCTTTTAACTCTTTTTATGTACTACCGGCTTCAGCGACCCGCGAATACCGCAATCCCTATTAGCCAGCGATATCTCGTTACTGGAAGCGTGGAAGCTATTTATTACCTTGTACGAACCGTCCTCAATGCAATCTCTCGGAGGAACCTAGCGCAAACACTGTATATACTTTTTATATCAAGGGAATACGTTTATAATCAATATTTTAACAGAACTTTTCCAGTTTAACTCTTTAACAGATACCAACATTCATATTACAAAGAACAGAAATTTTGTTTTCTTAACATCTTCGGGTATTGGTTTTTTAGGCTAAAAATTTATGGACATCAAATAAAGGTACAAGAAAAACATAACTCACGTCCATGAGAAGGGTAAGAAGAGAATACTCTTCATTAAGTGTCCTGAGACCAAAATACTACTCTTCAGCCTCTTCCACATTCATACACCTACGTATACATTCTACGTCTCGCGTCTAATAAATGTGTAAAATTCATCTCCAGTGAAATAACTGTCATTATTATCACATTTTAAAGTAATGTAGTTAGCGACTCTGTATAAGGTTAATAACGTAAGCGTCAGAGACATGGGCGGGTTATTTTTAGCGTTAATAAATTGGCTTTGTGTTGCGCTTTATTATGTACTAGTTTCGCGCTGACGATTTCATGTGACACATACTTCTAGGTCAGTTTTGATTCAAAAACCTTGTTATAGCTCAGTAATATTGCATTATATCAGAGATTTAAATACTTTTATCTCGTACGTCTCTTTAAAATTGTTCCTGGTTTTGGTGACCCCTGTTGCTTAATCCCCAACTTTTAATTCGTAATAGGACCGCTTTGAGAATCTGGTGCTTTATATAATCCGAAGCATTTCATATGATGTAGCTATTTTACAACATACCAAAGCTTTTTTAGTGTTTGATGATAAATTCCGAGATTATTTTCTCAATCACATCCATATTCTCAAACATTATGCATATGTGCTATCGCATACCATGTTGCGATTTTACATTCAGCCAAAAGCTACAATAAGAATATCAACTTTATGTTTCCTGTGTCAATACACCAACAACCGATATCTGCCTTCTTGGCTATTTGATACCACAGAAAAGCTTAAAAGAATGACTATGTTATAAGGAATTTAATTTTAAACATACAGCACGTTCTTTTCGTTAAATATCACCAAAACAGTCGCGCACAATCACGCAAGGTTACCACTGAATATTGATACTTTACAATTTTAGCAACTTAATTTTACCTCCGCTTTAATATGATTGTACATTCACTAACATTTCCATTGAAATATTTTTGTTATTTTGGCGACTGCATATGAGCGAGTTGATTAATTCCTATATCTGAGTTATACTGTTTAGCATTTTTAACGGTCACAGCACATTTTAAGCTGCAGGTGGGCAGCTTTGAAGGTCAACTTTTTAAGACAATGTCGCAGGTGCCGCGTCTTAACTATGGCAAATAGATATGGCTATACATGATCGGTATTTAATGGGGATGTGTCGAGCTCGAAGCACCTGCAATTCGATGTGGTGGCGAGGCAGGGGTGCGGAGGGGCCGAGGGGGTTCGCGCCGCTTTAGAAAGGCGCGACCATCGCCGCGGGCCCGGGCCGCATTCTACGGCCTGTCATTCACTTCGAACAGCTTGCCTATGCAGTGCATTCCATCTTCCAACCCGCTCTCCACGCATCGCACTTCACGCGCCGCACCAAACCGACCATCTAAATCTAAACATGTCCCGATCACTACAAACTGTACATTTATTTTAGCATCTAGATCGCTAACACTATTTATATTAACCAGTTTCCGAGCCGCATTCGAACGCTTTCCAACACGATTCGAATGAGGTCTCATATTAATACGAGAGTTGAATACGTTGAAGGATAAAAATGATAACCATAATTTGTGTTTAGGTCAGTTGTTGTTAGTCAATTGTGGAATGTCGTGTGAAATCGAGACGGTTGCGCGTGCTTTCCGACAGATAGCAGCTGCGTCGCGGCGAACGATCGGTTTGTTTTTCACAATTTATTCTATTTGGAAACAGTTCTTATCACGTACGGCACAAGTAATACTTAAAATAACACTAGTAGCCACAACCTAAATAATCGCAAGCAATAAATTCAATCAGAAAACTCAGGAAATCGCATTGGAATGTGAAGTTTTGACATGGGGCTCTTACGGGTTAACACTTCTCTTCGGAAAACTTACCTGTCTCGCGGGTCGATCCACGTCGTTTTTCTACTGTTGTGGTCGATGAAATATAACTTTCCATCAAAGTCCCTCGCATAATCCCATCCGTCGGGCAAGGGTATCTCACCGTTTCGTCTCCTTGGCATATTTCACTGATTAAATCCATTCAAACGAATAACGAAGCACACTCGCGAACTAGCTACACGGCCATGTTGAATACCTCATTACGAGGTGTGACGTCACGCGGGATCGGCCAATGGCGGCGAAGGGCCCCCACGATGGAATGCGGCGCGTACGCGAGCGCGAACAGTTCCGCACGTCACTTTCCCGCCGATACGTACAAAGTACGCGACCGCACCACGCGAGCCCGCGTCGCTGACTGAGCCGCGGGCGCCCATCGCCACGTTATCACCGCTCATGATAATATTCACTACCAGCACCTACCGTCTAAATGCATTCCTCTTGACCACAATGTTTACATTACATACCGTGGCCTGGCAAACACACCGAACCGCCGACGGGTGCCTACAGTTCACAGTGCGAACTACAAAACCGAGCCAAGCAACAGTGAAGGCGAAATGTAGTACCTATCCATTCAATTTATTTACGATTCCGTCGCATGTACCTACGTACTCAGACAGATATGTATAGGCCGCATTCCAACGCGTATGTATGAGACAACACACGAATTATAGACATATAACGTACTGAATAACATTGTGAGTGTAGCTTCACTGGAATCAACTTTATGTTAACTTTATACTATCTACATACTACAGATATGATTAGTTTTCTTTAATGGTCTATATTTTTATACTAATCAATGTTTATAAAATATATGACCACATTGTAATTTGCTTCAATTGTCTTTATGTACATAATTATACAACATAGTAAGATGTATATTATTACAATACTTATGTTATGATTCTTATTCAACAAGACTAACTTAGTTCTATAATAAACTTAAACACAGTTCATAGGTGTCTGACGGAATTCAGTTAGGAATAAGAATTTTTTTTCTGCGCATACAAGTAATTAGCATGGTATGCGCAAATTATGAAGAATTAAGAATGGCATATAAGAAAGAGAACTGGTAATATGTTATGTGGAGGGCAGCATTAGTAGTGATAGGTCTAAGAAAAGATGGATCGATTGCGTGAGAGGTTATGTAATTAAGAAGGACGACTGAAATAACGAGCTATGGATCATTAAACACTTGGAAGTCTAAAATCTCCAAAAAAGAATGATTTGACAGAAGAAAAAATTTAAAGAAAAGAGACATAAACGCCTTAAAATGGATGTTCTTCGTCCTAATAGTAGACTAGGTCACAGGGTCACTAAATAAGTGTTTTTATCCAAAATATATGAACCGCTACTTCTTATTTTTCCTTGTTTAAATTTCTTTTCTGAATTAATTCAAAACATCGACGCAAAAAATAACGACCGGTTATACTTGGAAAATACACGGATGGTATTTCCTATAAAGGTTTTTAGTATGAGCAGATGAAAGCGAATGCTAGTTCAGGGTCAAATATAATTACGCCTATTTTTTTTGTTTATAATATTCTTTTTATTTAACCTAATTTTAAACAAAGTTTTTATAGTCATAAAGTGTACGTATGTAGTTTGCTCTTACCTTAATTTAATTTATAAAATTCAAAGCATTTTGTTGTTCATGTCTACGTATTTTATTTTCAAATGACTTAAACCTTTTACCTGTGAATTAAGATTACTTTAGAACATACTAGCTGGTATCCCCAACTTAGTCCACCTTCAGATTGAATTTTCTAAAATCCCGATATTTGTTTAGTAAAAATAATTTTATCAGTATGTTAATTATTAAGAGGTTTTCCGTATATATATTTTATAAAAACCCCCTGTATTTATTTAAACCATCACCTCTATATTACCTCATTTATGAGATGACTATGGATAAATCCTTTTGTACTGCTCGCGTATGTAACAATAGAAATTCTATAGGCACAATTTTTAACTTTGCAAACAAAAATATATTTTAATTAAATTTACAAAATAAAATAGAATTAAATTGTTTTTCTTGCTACGGGTCGGGATCAGCTTCAGCTAAACATTGTTTTTTGTTTTATTTTGTGAGAACGGAACGTACCTGTCAGTCCCAACATTTTGACAGATATGTGCCAAAGTGAGACAATTTGTCAAAATTTACAATAACTTTGCAACACGTAGTAGATTTTAAAAGATTTGTGAACGTTTAATAATTAATTCGGTAGAAAAAAAATCACCATGCCCACCAGTGATAGTGACGATTTTGAGAGTGCTGATGAGGGTCAAAACAGCCCACAAAAGAAGGAGAGAAAGAAGCGATTATCTTCGTCAAATTATAGCGATAATTTAGAATCAGATCAGGAAAACAGGAAAGGCCAATCAAAAACATATTCAGAGCCTAAAAAAGTAGGAAGCCTCTTTCAATTTCGTTAATATTAGTCTTTTATTTTTGTCTTTTTTGTTTTGCGTTGTTTAATGATTGAATTGCCCGTTTTATTGTTTCTTATTTACATAGGTTGAAACAACAGATGGTTGGGATGATTTTGACATCGATGAAGGTTCTGAAATTACAAAAGTTAGCTCAGAAAAGGATACTTCAGGGCCAAAATGTGAAAATACAACAAAAACCTTGAATGCCACAACCTCAAATACTGACAAGGGAGCTAGCAATGATTCAGGCTGGACTGATTTTGACGATTGGGGGGACACAGACATACCTAAAACTGGCAAGGTACTAATAATATCTTTAAATATGTGTGCATATAAATGGTCTGTCCTCGGCGGTATTTCCAAACCGCTACGACTTAGGGTCCTTCAAGAAGCGAGCTTATCACCACCTAAAAGGCCGGCAACGCATCTGCGGTTCCTCTGGTATTGCTGATGTCCATGGGCGTTGTTGAACACCTCGGTGTTCCCGCTGATTGTTTGCCCCCTTCTGTTATAAAAAATAAATAAATAAATAAATCCTCTTATTGATTTACTATTTAAATACTTACAAGTTTAATTTTTAACCAAAATACATTCACTACTAGAGTTTGTTGTTTATTAACTGGCAGACAGTTAAACTAAAAAGGTAAAAAGAGATGCATAACATTTTTCCTTTACATAATAAAACAAACCCACAATTAAACAAAGAGATACATCATTAATTTATCCTATTTTTATTTCCAGGAAGATACTACCAAACAACCTGCTAAGAACATAGAAGAAGTGACGGAACGGTTAGCGGCAACATCTACAGCGACTTCAACAAAGAATGAAGGTTGGGGCTGGGGATGGGGCATGGACTCTATACTGAGCACAGCCACTGCTGGCATCACCAATCTCACCACACAAGTTTCACAGGTCTTTATTTACTAAATATGATAATTATGTAGGAAAATAACTATGCTAAATAAATAATTGTAATACAATAGTATTTGCATTTATGAACTGGGCACTGGGTGTAAAGTCAAATTTTATGTGTCTTTTAAGTAACTAGCCATCGCAGAATTAAAATAACACTATGTGTTCTTCTAGCTTATGTCCTACATGGTTGAATGTGTCAACCTTAATAAAAAGTATTATAATTTTTAAAGATATGACCATTAACACTGCTGTTATGATTTGTTTAGAATAGGTCAGTGAAAGTAAATACTATTTCAATTTTTCAGGGGATTTCAACAGTCTTAGAAACTAGTATTGGGGCACCAGACCCTGAAGAACTTGCCAGAAAAGCTTCTCAAAGTGTTGAAAATAAAAATAAAGGCGAGGACAGTGTACCAAAAGATACTAACAAAGATAAACAGGAAGAAAGTACAAATAGTGATGCGCAATTTCCATTTGGAAGCCTTTTATCTGGTGTTACAAAATTTGTGGAGACAACTGGTTTGTATTTTTTATTAATATTTTTAATATTGTTACTATTGAACTTGGCCAAAGGCGAATCTAAGGGACTGCTAGCTTGCTTTAGAGATTCTTAATAACTCCAGTTTTTTTTTTTATATATTATAAAGTGGCAATTGAGTGAACGGTCACCTGAAATAGCGAAGTGACTGTAGCCCATAGTCATACGCAATTGCATATGCATGCCTACCTTTAATCAACGGAGGAGAGGATGCACAGAAAGAAAACATTTCCATGCATCCTCTCATCCGGAAAGTCCACTTCCACTTCCCATCCTTTCTTTATAAGAAAATGGGTAGGAAGGGAAAGAGGAGCAATAATCCAGGACGCACACTCATCAAACGAAACGCGGAATTTCTTTCACTTGTCGCCTGTCTTCTGTGTGGTAATGGTATTTCACCGGGTGAGCCGGGCTAATTCGTGCGAAGATGTTAAAGCGGTCTCTACCACTGTTAACTGGGCTCGACTGTATTTTTTTTTACTAAAGTATGATCTGAATTTTTAGTTTGTTACTAATAAATATTTGATTCAAACCTAAAGTTAAAAAAATATTTTTTACTTAAATATTGTTATTAAAATCTGTATATACACAAACATATTCTTGAAACATACTATGTTGTTTGCAAACATTTTATTAATTTGTCAAATCTTTTCTCATATAAAAGGTACAAAAGTCTTAGCCGGAGGTTTAGATACTCTTGAGACGATTGGCAAGAAGACTATGGAAGTACTCCAAGATGGTGACCCAGGGTTGGCTAAGAAACGAGCAATGCTCGGTCTGGATTCAGCGGATAAGCCAGTACTGTCTCAAGTGCTGAGAGAAGCAAAGGCTAAAGCTGATGAGGAAGACAGGATTAAAGAACAAAAGAGGGAGGCCAAGGAGGTTCATTATGAGACATTGTTTGATGATTTTGAAGGTAATTTACATTAATAATTCTGATTTTAAAAAAGATTTCTTGTAGGAGTTTTTTTATTTCATTTCGATGTTTTCTCTTATATTTATTATGTTGGAACTTTGCTTCTATTGAATCAATTTTAATGATTCTAGTATTATTATTTTAACAGTGATAGAGCTCTCTTTAACATCTTCGCACGAATTGTCCCGGCTCGCCCGGTGAAATACCACGACCACACAGAAGACAGGCGTCAAGTGGAAGCAATTCCGCCTTTCGTCTGATGAGTGTGCGTCCCGGAGACCTAATTTAGTCCTCTTTTACTTCCCACCCTTTTTCTTATAAGGAAAGGATGGGAAGTGGAAGTGGACTTTCCGGATGAGAGGATGCATAAAAAGGGGAAATATTTTCTTTCTGTGCATCCTCTCCTCCCTAGATTAAAGGTAGGCAACGCATATGCAATTGCGTATGTCTATGGGCAACGGTCACTTCGCTATTTCAGCGATATCAGGTGGCCGCTCGCTCGTTTGCCACCTTATGATATAAAAAAAAAAACAATTTTTGACATAAAGAACAAACAAAAAAAAATCTATATTCCTGACATTATTTCCTGATAATAATATTAACTTGAGGATTCTTTTATTCCAGGCTTGGTACACTTGGAGGCGTTAGAGATGCTATCAAGACAGGTCAGCATGAGGATAGAGGAGAGGATTCGTGCAGCCGACCCCAGTAAGAGACAAGACATTAAAGAGACGTTGCAGCAAGTTGCCGGTCAGTTATACTTTTAATTACATGATAATTTTTAACTACTTTTTGATGGAGTTATTTTAAACTAAGATTTTTATACTATCATCATCATCATCATCTCACTATACGTCCCCACCGAGGGGCTCGGTGTCTACCCTAAGTTTTATACTATAGTTATAAATTATTCATTCTATAATTGGAGCATAGAATTTTTTTTTTAATAAAATATATAAATGTAATAAAAATAATGAACATTTAGTAAAGTGATAGAGATTTGGTAATAGAGAAAAATTTGAAATTTTCTTTTTATATATGTGTGTAGAATTTTCTATTATATATTTTTATGCCATAATTATATATCTTACTTGAATTTTCTTACTAATATTATAAATGCCAACGTTCAAATGGATAGATGGATGTTTGAAGGCATCTCCAGAATAGCTGCATCTCGATGATATTTGGCAAACATATTATGGAAGAAAACATATGCTCCTTAAGATTTTTTTAATAAGTGGGAAAAATCACTGTTAAAGAGTTTTGTTATATAGTTAACTAGCTGTCGCCCGCGAGTCCGTACGCGTAAGACAAAAAAATAGTTTCCGATTTTTTGGGCTATCGAAAAATATATATATAAAATTTCATAACAAAATATTCCAGCCATTTTATATATAACACTAGATTAATAGTAAATAAGAGGCATTATTCTGTATCCGCAGAGCTATGTGAGATGCCGGAGGAGGATGATGATGAGGAGGAGTCAGGAGACACTTCGCGGCCTGACGCGTTGCACGAGCGCCTGCAGACCGCCACCAGGGACATCGGACTGAAGATGCAATATCAACCTCTTATCAAGTAATATGACTTATATTTCATTCCAAAGACAAAATCTTTTCATAGACAAAATGCACATGGTATATTAAAATTGATAAATTATGGAATACTAGCTGTCGCCCGCGACTCCGACCGCGCGGGATTAAAAAATACTTAATTATTAGCCTATGTGGTTTTCCAGACTATGTTCTACATCTATGTAAAGTTACAGTTTGATCCGTTCAGTCGTTCTTGAGATACCTTCAAACAAACATCCATCCATCTAAATATTCGCAATTATAATATTAATAAGATTTAACGTTGGTTTCCGAGACCAAAATCTCTGTATAAAACTTATCGTCATCCCTGTCTTTGACAAAACAGAGATATGTGCCAAACGGAAATTTTAGGTTTAGAAACCCACGGTTATCCTTTGATAAGCAACTGATACAATTAATATTTTAATTCCAGACATTATAAAGAGACATTGGAATGGTTATCAACCGGTGACATATCATCACGCGCAGTATACAAGCGCGGGGTGAGCAGCTTGGCGCATGCCACCGCGCTCGCTGTGGAAACCTACCATAAGACTGCGGAAATGCTGCTGGTGAAGACACGCCGCTCTACTGCTGATGAAGCTGACGCACTCACACAGTTAGTATATTAATTAATCTATTTCGAATTAAAAATTAACTTAATTAGTAGCCTAAGTGTTCTACTAGAGCAGTCTTTCCCAAAGTGGGCGATAACGCCTACTTGTGGGCGCTGCAGGACTCAAGTTGCGGGTCATAGTAAAAGTTTCGTTTAGAAATCTCCGTTAATATACATATATAGGTCACAATAATTAATTAATTTAATTTGAAGTTATAGTGGTTATTAAATATGTGAAAATATGGGGGCGCTAAAAAATATTTGTTCTCAAAGTGGGCAGTAGACAAAATAAGTTTGCGAACCACTGTTCTACGCTATGTTCTACATCTATAACTGATTTCAGCGAAATCTTTGCAGCCGTTCTGGAGATGCCTTCTAAAAACAACCATCCATCTATACATCTAAACATTCGCATTTATAATATAATTAAGATATATTCTTTCAAACCATATTTATTTTCGTAAAATTTTACTAATGTCACTAATATTTTAAGTGCGAATGTTTGGATGGATGGATGAACGGATCTTGCTGATATTTGGTATAGATGTAAAACGTAATCTGGAAGAACGTATAGTCTACTAATTATTAGTTTTTAATACTACATGGACGGAGTCGCAAGCGACAGCTAGTAGTCGTAATAGACGCCATGTAAATTTACGTTCCTCTCTTTAATTTATACGTTGTATTTTAATGAAATTATGTATATTTTTGACAACAATATTGAATTTATAATGTCAATTTTCAGAATGACAGTAGTGATAACAAAGCACATAGGTGATATAGCGACACTGTTCACCGCGAGGCTGAACTCCATCACCGATGAGGACAAGGAGCAAGTCAGCAATCACATCACCAATATATTTTTAGAGGTATATTTTAATGTGTCAGAGTCACAGGCATTGGGGATGACTTATGTCCAACATTGGGCAGACAGGGCCGGATTTGTAATTTTCGGCGCCCTGGGCGACATTTTGCGGCGCCCATTTTTGAGTGTCGGAGGGAAATCTTTCAAAGATAGGGTATCTTAGGGGGCAATGTGGGCGCCTCTTTTTATTTTACAATGGCGCCTGAGGCGCCTCTTATGCCCGGCGCTGAACAGGGTTGTGTGGATTCTTACTGACTAAAACCACTGAACTGTGAAGGTCCTCCAATGGAACGTAATAATAATTTAATGAATGTTTGTTCGCAGGCCGATAACAGTTGCAAGTACATACAGAACGCTTTCCAACTCGCGTTACCTATCATACAGATTGGAGCCGTTTAAATACAAAATATATTTATTTTACTTTTGTATGTATAAGAGTATAAAATTTTTAATATAATATCTGAATGACGAAAAGAAGAAATCCCATACTACTTGTATGTATAAAGTTATGTGACGTCATTATTTCGCGTGTCTCATGTTATTCTGCACGCGTTGTATTAATGTAATTTTATTCAGTAGCAAGGATCGCTATATTTTTTCGCTTATAAAGTATCTAACCGTGTGTTTCTGAGTCTATAACGTTTTAAACATTACTATCTCTGTTTTATACTGAGTTTTAGGTGTCAGAAACCCACGGTTACCTGAGTTTCTCGCCCACGAAGCTCGACTGTATATATTCTCTTAAATCTCACGTGTTTTTTTTATATTTCTAACTGTTATTAATTCCCATAAAATATTGTATTATTAGCAACTTTATAAAAAATTTGAAATGAAAAAGACCACTGTTTGGTATCCATATAAACTTTCATTATCTTGTATTCGTGATATTGATTGCATTTAATATAATATGTTAAATATAATATTTGCTAGTACTAAAGGTAATAATGAGTTTTTACTGACGAAAAATTAACATATACACCGTGTTATTTCTTACTAATATTATAAATGCGAATGTCTGGATGGATGAATGTTTGAAGGTATCTCCAGAAATGCTAAATCTTTGATGAAATTTGGCACACATATAGAACATAGTCTGGAATGGCATAGGCTACTTATTAATGTTTTTTTTTTAATTCCACGCAGACGGAGTCGCGGTCGACAACTAGTTTTGTATAATAACAAAAACTCATGTTTTATGATGCAAGATGTGTGCCAGGACTATGTATTTGATATGTCATTATGACAATAATTTTGCTTAATTCTTTAAATTTTTTTTTATTTAAATAAATAGTCATAAAAAACATTTTCAACTCTGATTTTTATGCTACTAAAATGTATTACGTATTTGTATAATATAATAAATTAAAAAAAAAATGTAAGGTGTGTAATTTCTTGTTTTTAATTTGTGTTCCAAATACTCCATAATATAATATTTAAAAATCTGTTTTCCTTTTGAAGTACTTTAAAAAAAATTAAAAAAAAACTTATAATGATTAACAGTGTCGAAAAATTATATCTTTGATAATACTTTGAAAAGGTTAAAATATGATGCTTAATTGCGATGTGATTGTTGCCAACGTCCATACCACGTTGAACACACCGGTTCTCGTCCGATCACCGAAGTTAAGCAACGTCGGGCGCGGTCAGTACTTGGATGGGTGACCGCCTGGGAACACCGCGTGATGTTGGCTTTTTGCTATTTTTTTAAGGGTATTATCGATTTAATAATAAGATTCTTACTTTAATAGTTGCTTTCGCCAACGTCCATACCACGTTGAACACACCGGTTCTCGTCCGATCACCGAAGTTAAGCAACGTCGGGCGCGGTCAGTACTTGGATGGGTGACCGCCTGGGAACACCGCGTGATGTTGGCTTTTTGCTGTTTTTTTTTTAAGGATATCGTATTAGTAATAATTGTTATACATTTATTTATATACATTTCTAATATAATACATTTCATATAAAAATTATATAAAACATATTATATTAAAAAGATAACACCACCGGCTGCGGAATCCCATGACTCAAACAACCAGTGGTCAGGGCTGCAGAGACAGGAACCTTCTCACGATGCGCGCGGTTTCTAGGATAACTGCCTTTTGTATCGGGCCCTTAATCCAACTGTTTAGCGAGAGCTTCTTGAGATGTTGGTCGAAGCTATTCGCTATCAGTCCATTTACCGATACGACTATCGGAATAATGGTAGTCGATTTCATACGCCACATGCCGGTAACCTCGTGAGCCAAATCAAGGTATTTTAACACTTTTTCCTTTTCAGCTTTCACGAGATACTCGTCATGTGGAATAGTGACATCGACTAACATTAGTAATAAGATTCTTACGTTAATAGTTGCTTTCGCCAACGTCCATACCACGTTGAACACACCGGTTCTCGTCCGATCACCGAAGTTAAGCAACGTCGGGCGCGGTCAGTACTTGGATGGGTGACCGCCTGGGAACACCGCGTGATGTTGGCTTTTTTGCTATTTTAAATAATATCAGTGTTTTACAAACGACATTTACTAAAATTTTTGCAAAAACATAATCCAAAATTATCAATGCAGATGGCGCGTATGTTGATAACATAGTAGAACTTACCTAAAGAACACCTGTTATTTGATATTTATCGTAAGAATAATATGGATACGAATACGATACATTCTGTGGATATGTTTATTTAACTTTGTGACTCATGTATAGAATTTAAACTGTCTGAATAAGTTTAGTAATTTAAATGTTATTCCCCGGAATATTATAAGGTTATAGTCAGCATTCAAGATTTTTAATTTAATTATGTTTTAATTAAAATTAATCCTTGAAAGATCTTTTTTTACGATTAAATGCTCTCAATGTATTATCATTGTTTTAAAGAATTGTTCAATAAATATTGGGCCGATGTCCATACTTTACTATCGTAGTACTGCCGCAAATGGGCAAAACTTTAGACAACATTGCATGCTGCATCTGTCACTCAGAGAGAAAGCGACTGTTGGAACCGTCACATCATAGCGAATTAAGCAAAATCGACATTTGCTTTGTAATTATATGAAAAAATACAGATGTTTTGTGATATGTAAAGGAACAAGATATATTTGCTTAGATTTACGGAATCATGAAAGGTGTTTCTTGTCATTTGGCGGACACGTTCGCAATATAAAGCAGTCTCCTACAAGAAAAACTCTGGAAGGTTACAATCAATGAGAGAAGTGTAGACAGACGATAAAAATAAGATAATATTCTCCACTAACTTACTAATAGTTGGTTTTTGAGACTTTAAAAAATATTTTTATCTCTGTTTTGTCAAAGATAATGAGAGAGATGACGATATGTTTTATACAGAGATTTTGTTCCCAACCAACTATAAGATGCACAAATTATCGATGAAAAAATAAAATATTTGACATCCAGAAATGCATTGAATTATTCAGGATTCTCGCACTAGACGTAGCCTGTATCGCGAGGACTCAGCTCAGACTTAACAAGAAACATCGATGGCAAATAAAAATGTTTGTTAAAGAATCTGATCTCATTTTTGTTTATTTCTTTACCAGGTGTTGAGTACAATACTTCATTGTAACAATATAAGCCGTCGCGTGCTCGTGTCATCAATCATTGCCACGTGTGAAAATTAATAGCATTACGTGACTCGACAATATGTTAGGGTTGCCATGTTTAAATAGGGCTGCTACATTCAATTCATAAACAAGATGATATTGTTGGTTAATTAAAATACTTTGTGCTTGAATTATCAAAAGGGTTTAGATTTATTAAAAGAGAATTTTATATAATTAAAAAGTTACAATTTAAATCTTCTTAGTAACACAAAGACCTTTTAAATGGATTTATGTGAAAGCCATTAAAGAAAGGAGCTTTTTTAATATTCAACTAGCTGCCGCTCGCGACTCTGTCCGTGTGGATATATAAAAAACTTAATTAGTATAGCCTATGTGTCCTTTCAGACTATGTTCTATACGTATGCCAAATTTTATGGAGATCCGTTCAGCCGTTCTAGAGATATCTTTAAACACCCATCCATCCACATCACATCCATCTAAACATTCGCATTTATTTAATTTATTAAATAAAAAGCAGCTCTTCAAGGCATAAATTCAAAAAAAAATGAATAAATAGTATCCTATGTCCGTCTCCTGGCTCTAGGCTACCTCCTCACCAATTTTCAGCCTTATCGGTAAAGCCGTTCTTGAGTTATAAATAGTGTAACTAACACGACTTTCTTTTATATATATAAAAAAACACAATATCTTTATTACAATGCAAAGTAAGCTCAGTATGAAACATATATAAATATTTTTTTAAACATATGTACACAGAACCTCTGTTGTACCACAATTTTGTTTCAAGCCACTTACGGTGACATTCGTGACAGATGCAATTTGCGCCTAATGTCAAATCAATTACCGTTTCCCGCCAATTGCCTAATGTCATTTGAACACGTGTTGTCAATTGAAAAGCATTATTAATGATTACGTAATAAAAAAAATAATCGAAAAATAATGGACGACAATAAATTAAAATTACTACGTTTATCTTTTACGGTTGAATATGGTTATAAGATTCCTAAAATCATTTTTTTTAATTTGTAGAAAGGCAAAAGACAAAGGCGCGTGCAGTCTGTGTAAACATTAAGGGCCATTGGGCCATCCTTGTAGTCACAACTTCCGATTAATATCGTGACTTCGTGTTCATATTGTATCCATGCGCACGTGCCATAAAGTCTGTTTAAAAATAGAAATAACATGATTTAAAGAAATCTTTCTATGAACACAAATCCAAAAACTCATGGTTTATACTGAAGAAACAGTTATTCAGATGAAATTTAAATTGAATTGTTAAGAAATACAGGTTAACTTCTTTTCCTATCGGTAATTACACACTCACGGTTAATACCCTAAATTAAAAAGTTATTTTAGGTAACCATTGAATTCTATCAATTCATTACTTCTTTTGTACTCTTCAAAGTACATTTTCCAAAGTAAACGATCAATGTACACAGTTCATTAACATCGACAGCTGTTTTACGTGACATATTAACTGAGTTGGATTCATCTAATTGTAATTCATGGTCGAAATTTCCTGCGACGCACCAAATAAGGCGCAATATTATCCAGTAAGTATGAAAGACGGTGACAATTATTTATTAAAACCCAAAATTTTCTACTATAATACAATATAGTAGAACTCAGATATCTTAGCGGCTATTAGCTTTACATAAGCCTTTGCGCAAACACAATTTTAGGTTTAGAAAGGGCCTAGCGGTAAGTAATTTTATTTTAACTTGTAAATAATACTAGCTGTCGCCCGCAACTCCGTCCACGCGGCATTGAAAATAGATGTTGGCCGATTCTCAGACCTACTCAATATGCTCACAAAATTTCATGAGAATCTGTCAAGCCGTTTCCGAGGAGTATGGGAACGAAAATTGTGACACGAGAATTTTATATATAAGATAACTAGGGATCACCCGTGACTTCGTCAGCGCAGCATATGAAAAAGCATATAATATGCATCAGCTTCCTATTCGTCCAAGTCTCGTTAAAATTGGTTCAGTAGTTCCAGAGATTACCTGAAACGTGTCTCGTGGACAGGCATACAGACAAACATATATAGATTCGCATTTATAATAGTAGTAATATTAAAAACGAAAATAACTCCTAATAAGCGTAATTTTCTCTTTCCGTTTACTCATTAATCAATGGAAATGTGCCCTAAATGTGACGAATATGCGGGGAACCAAAAAAACATGTAATATTTACATCACTTGAGTTCATTCAGAAAACATCTTTAGTAAAGGTGTTTAGCGCATCTGTTGAGAACTTTATGGCGATATTTGTATTCAACAAACTTTGCCGTGCTGCAAAATTTAAAAAAAAAAGAACTTATTCTGTCAGAACCTTGACTAAATATTTTAATATTAATTATTATTAAAGTATAGTGAAATTAGCAAATTGTAACACATCTTCAAAGATCAACGTATTTAGATTTTTTTATATTTCCGCGTCGTTTTAACTAATTTAAATATAGAATATTTTTAAATCTATATATATATAAAAGAAAGTCGTGTTAGTTACACTATTTATAACTCAAGAACGGCTTTACCGATATGGCTGAAAATTGGTGAGGAGGTAGCTTAGAGCCAGGAGACGGATATAGGATATTATTTTTTTTCGAATGTATGCCTTGAAGAGCTGCTTTTTATTTAACTTACTAATATTATAAATGTGAATGTTTAGATGGATGTGATGTGGATGAATGGGTGAGCTACACTAATTAAGTTTTTTATATATCCATGCGGACGGAGTCGCGGGCGACAGCTAGTTATAAAAAAAATCTATC